TCTCGTCCAAAGTAGACGAAACACAGCGACTGCTAAACCAGCAGGAAACACAGAGCATTCAGGCTACCGAGTCTTCCCAGAGTCTGCAGACCCCCGGTCGGCAGAGGAAGGGAAAGATGGGGGCAAAGGCAACGCCTGCGCCTTCCAAACAGGACCAGCCTCACGTGCCGAAGAAGGTGTACACCGATTGTCGTCATCGGATCAACGACAAGAAGGATGCCGAACGGCATAGGTCCCCAATCCGGATTAATGCCCGCCTGCGGGACTCGCGGATGAAGGTCCTAGGAGATAAGTCGCCCCTCAGGAAGGTCCACGGTTTGGATTCGGGAATAGAATCCGACGATGAGTACGTCCCTACCAAGGGCATCGAATCAGGCTACCGTTCGGAAACTCCCTTGGAGTATTCGAAGGCAAAACCACCAAGTCCGAGGAAAACTTCCGAAGAGGTCCCAAGGCAAGACCCTGTCACGCCCCGGACCCGGGGGTAGGTGGAAATCCCGTGCCCAACGACCAAACCCGGTCCCAAGTCCCTGACTGGGGAAAGCTTCGGCCAGGACCCTTCACCGAACGCATCAAGAAGTCCATACAGGACAGGGAGGTGCAGCCGTTATGTATACCATTTTATACTGGCGTGGAGGACCCTTTGACGCACCTTCACTCCTTCCAATCGGCAGTGGGATGCAAGGGCCTCAGCGATGAGGGGTAATGCTTGCTGTTTCCATCATCCCTTACCGAAGCTGCTCTGAACTGGTTCTACCGTCTCGAGCCGGGGACGGTAGACTCCTTTGACGAACTGAAGCAGATTTTCCTCAACCACTTTATGATCCAAACGGACCGCTTGTACTCTGTCGATGATCTGTACACGATTTGGCAAAGGGAAGACGAACCTCTACGGGAGTACGCAGCACGCTTCGGTCACGAGTACTCGAGGTGTCCCGAAACGGACGATAGGGCCGCCTACGGCGCCTTCAAGAGTGGCCTTCGGTCCTCTTACTTTCGGTACCTCGTGCACAGTAGTAACTGGCGCACATATGACGAGTTGATGAAGCAGGCGGTAGTTTATGCGAAGGCCGAATATTTCAACTCCAAACCTGGGCCTTCGGCTCGGAATGAGGAGTCAACGACCAAGAGTTATCCAGACCGAACCGATGATTCTTCGGCAGGGAATAAACGGAAGGACGACCGTGACGGTCGTCACGGAAACTCGAAGAAGGGGCGCGGGAAATACGGTTGTAACGACCACCGTGCACCACTACCGAATCACGATCGTGCCCAGGAAGTCTTCACCCTGCTGAACACTACATACGAGACCGTTCTGATGAACGAGCATGACCAAATCTCGAAGCCAACCAACTGAAAGCCCAATCGGCAAGATAATCGGGATACTGACAAATTCTGCCGATACCATCAGCAGAACAGCCACAATACCAAAGACTGCATCAGTCTGAGAAAAATTGTCGAGCGTTTGATTCGGGAAGGAAAGTTGGATCAGTACCTCGCCAGGCCACCGCAGGCCCCGGCGCCGAATGCGAATCGGCAGATCAACATGATCCACATGATCAGCGGCGGTCCCACTCTGGCGGGACCCTCAAACCATTC